ACACTCTCTGCAGTATCTTCTCTATGTTTCAGTCCGTTGTGGCCTTCAGTGTGCATCACACTCTGTTGCATAAGGAAGCTTCACTGACGAGAGTTGAGGGATACACTAGTATTCTCTGTATCCCAGTTCTGTTCTTCTATGTCCCATGAGCCTTAGGTGTAGAAGTTCAACTGTAACTATGTCACCCAGGACTGGATATCTCTCAGATGTATATTCTCTGTATCTGACCAGATGTGCAATTCTGCAGTAGCCTCCATCTGCTGCAAAAAAAAGCTTCTTTGATGAGTGGTGACTGGCATACATGTCTGTAAATATAAGCATTCATATTTAGCATATAGTAAGAAATTATGTTTGTCCAGGGACGTGGGAGACTTAGGGTTTTCTCTAAGACCTCTGCACCTAATGCTCATGGAATATAGTGGAACAGGGGGTAGAGAGAATATTAATGCATTTTTCAACCCTCATCAGCAAAGGTTCCTCATGCAACAGAGGGCGATGACTACAGAAGGCCACAAATAGCCAGAGTGTAGGGAATAAGAGTCTCCAGAGTGTGGGTCTCAGGAGAGGACTCCTATATTAAACTTCACCCACCCAGGGCTCAGGGACCACTGCAGAAAAGGGAGTAGGAAGATTGTAGGAGCCAGGGAAGAGGTACATGACCATAAAGAAAGAAGAGCCTTACAGGCTCCTGGGAACTTGCTCATATGAACTTATGACAATAATGTCAGTATGTGCAAGACCCATGCAAATTCAATTAGAGAAAAACAGCATATAACTGGGGAAATAGGTAGCAAGTCACAACCTTAGCCAAAGAACAATTAACAGCTGAATACTGCTGGGTGAGGGAAAGTTCATTTTCTTTAAGGGGGTGACTCTAGATAGGCTGAGTAGATGCCAAGAGATGAACTTGCAGCAAGGGACATCTGGATACACTAACTTGACTCAGTGAGCCTTAACATATATGACAGAATGCATGAAATCCAATGGAGGGGACTATAGGAAGGTGTGGATGGGGGAGGCGATATAAAGATTAAGATGATTTGTATGAAATGTACAAAATTTCAATTAAAATGTATACATTAAAA